TTCATCTGCGCTCTGCATGGCTTATGCTGTAACAGCTCTTCCTGCTGAAATGTTATCAAACTTTTATGAAGCAGCAAATAAAGTGTCCAATAGAAGTAGCAAAAGGGGCTGAAATATGCGTTCGAAGGCTATATTCAAGAGATGCAAACGCAAGAAACAAAAAGGCATCCAAAATAGAGGCAAAAGCATAACGTTACCACTCACAGTCAAAAAACTAACCACCGCAGATCCTAATCGAGACGGAGGCTGGGACTAACAATATCAGGGAGCAACACTGTTCATGTAAAGCTGGGTAGGTCTCTATTCACTTCTATAATCGTTATTACAAAGCAAACGGACTAACGTTACATGAGTATGACGTTGTATTTATTAGCAGCGTGTGCTAGCGTATCAACAACCGGTATGAGAACTGAAATCATAACCTAAAACATTATAAAACGGTCTAACTAGTATAACTTCACACTCACAGTAATGTTAGAAGTAAAAAAAGATGTCTTTGCGGGGTTTAGCTGACTGAGGACGTCCACACAGTTTAATCCAAAAACGACACTTGTCAGGATTTTACTTCGGTTTTGGGAAGGGAAAAAACGGAAACCCCCCTTTCAACCTCTCTGGGAAACGCGTATCTGTGTTGCAAATGCCCGAGGCACAACGTTTAACCGTATTTTGGATAAAACTACGACGGTAATAGCCTGCCGAGACCAAAAATATGAGACGCCTGTGTTGAAAGTCAATTGAGCGCTGTGAAAAACTGTCCGACCTCTGTGGGAGCTCGTTCTTGGCTGCGCTGTGATTGGTCAATCTACATTATAGGGCGTGGCTAAGCCAAAGGTGAATTGTGTGTTTTGGTGAATTGGTGAAAATCTCATTCCTGCATTGTCGTACGATGTGCTTACACCCCAACTAAGGGTTAGGTTTATGGGTGGACATTTATACTTTTTTTCTAAAATTTGTGTTTCGTAAGAATCTAATTATACGTATTCATAAGAATTTTCACCAATTTGCCAAAAGGTAAAGTGGATCTATTTTACTCCAGACAGCTCAGAAATAAATTGCATATTGCAAATTGCAAATATGCATAATGGTCTTGGAAACAATAGTAAATAAGTTTAATCACAAGTAACGCTGCTTTAAGTCACCTTTTTGGACACCCTAGTCCCAGAATGGCTATACCGTGTCCCTGATGTGGTGAGCAGTGATGAAGATTACCTGCCCAACTTAATGCTGACATTCAGGCTTATGTATTTTTATTTGATGAATAATGTAATGACACCTCCCAATTTGACAAGGAACAATGCAAATAATACCAGAAAATTTTTAAATCATTAATTATATATATATATATATATATATATATATATATATAAAACTTATTCAAAAGGAATAGTTCACCCAAAACAAAAAAATGTTGCTTACTCACCCTCATGTTGTTCCATAACTGTGTGACTTTTTCCTCTTCAATGAAACACAAAAGAAGCAGCTTTTGTACTAACTGCTCTTGTCCATTTAATTACATTAAATGGTCACATTAAGATTCACAAAAGTCGCTTATACAGCTAAAAGTGCTCCATATGTCACTTTATGTTTCAAATCTTCAGAAGTCATATGATAGTTTTGTGTGAAACAGAATGAAATTGAAATTGCTATTTACTGACAAACATCTTCTCCAACAACCTTTTAAGTCAAAAGTCTTTGAGTCAGTCAAACTCAAAAACAGTCAAACTTCAGACTTGTAAACTACATTGATAAATTAAAAAAAAACATCTGACACCAAAGAGTCATCTGTTCATGAATTGCACACTGCCATCTAATTAAAGCTGCAGTAGGTAACTTCTGTAAACAATTTCTTTTTTTTTTACATATTTGTTAAAACTGTCATTATGTCCTGACAGTAGACTATGAGACAGATAATCTGTGAAAAAAAAATCAAGCTCCTCTGGCTCCTCCCATACCCCTTTTCCACCAAGGCAGAGCTGGTGCTGGTTCGGAGCCAGAGCCTAGTTTCAAATCGGTTCTTTGTTTTTCGACCACCAAAGCACCAGCTCTGAACCAGTAAAAGTGGTTCTTAAGTAGCACCAAATTATTGCTGGTCTAGAAGTAAGAACTGCTTACGTCAGTGGCTGGGGGCGGGGTTTCCGTGACCAACAAGACGAATAGAAACTTGTGACCGCCATTTTTTAAATAGCAGCTAATCATGCTAATAGCAGCTCGATTGTAATCTCAGATAATGCAAGTTACGGCGAGCTGCTCAGACGTGCTGGATTCACCGTGTTTGGATACCGATGTACTGTAGGTTTGCAAAGCCATGAGCATAAATAGTAACGCAACAACCGGCATTGTTGATGGAAGGCTTTTTCGAGATGCATCGGAGCAGTGTGGACTGATCGGAGCTGCGGGAGTGTTTGGGGAGTTTAGGACGACTCATGCTTTTGAATCAAATCTTTTTATAATGTTTTTCCGAATTGCTCTTGCAGTTCGAGATTCACAGTGCCGAACCATCTCGAACAAGCCTGGTGTGTTTGTGTGTGTCGCGCTGGCATTGCTGGGCAACATGAGATGTATACAGTAGGCGCGTTTTCATTACAGATTTGCGCAAAACTTTTGCGATATTTTCCAAATTCCGATAAAAAACTATTGAGAAATGACGGTGTTTCCATTAACCGATGTTATGCGACTAAAACGTCTTTTTTTTTCCTCTCACGGTAAGTCATTCCAAAAATCATGGCAATGGACTTTGGTAGGTTTATAACCTATTTCAGAGCCATGAACCACACTAGACATTATTATTATAAATGGAAGGAGACGTGGTGTGTTATCCAAGCATTAATGGCAGGGAAAGACAGAGTTCCTGGTGTTTCTCCCTTATTTCTGCTTCGGTGTCTTGATGGCATTTCTTTGAGGTTTAGAGAGACTATTACTGTAATTATTGTTTCTTTTTTATTAATAATTTAATAAAGAACTCTATCTCGTATTATGTCCAAACGGTCGTTGCAAAACTAATAATGAATGGTTGTATTTTTAAAATGCAAAGTTGAACACCATCATTTTAGTTTGACCACAATCTCAACGAAATTTCAGATATTTGTTTATGACTTTTTGCCCCCTTTAAAACATTTAAAATATTCACAAATTAATATGGGAAAAAAATGTAGATTTTACTGGTTCTCTAAGGCCAAATTAGAACATGGATAGCCTATTATGATATTTTTTCCCCAAGTGCTGTAGGGCCTAGGCTACAGGTGAGTTATTATAAATGCGTCTGAAAAAATAACGAGCTAAAAACATAATCTCCGGATGCACCTTTAGAGAGAACTGCACCTTACATACGGATTACATAATCAGAAGGTATTAGTTTACGATTCGAATTTGTTCTTTTTAAAGTGGACATTTCAAGCTTTAGTCTATAAAGGATATTGTTTCAGTTCTCGCGCTCCAGTTCACGAAGATCATAAAGCGTGCCTGATTGTTTTATGTTATTTTACAAAAGCACAACGTTTTCTTGTTATTGTGACATTACGCAAATAAAAGTAGTTGCGAATAATGTATTATTATTTTCTGTATAACCAGAAATGATAGAGTATTGTTGATTAAGTTGAATAAGTTGATTCCACTGTTGATGGGAAATTGAAAGTGTTCACGGCGCGCCCTCGCCTGTCTGCCATCCAGTGCGTGCTCCAAACTCCGCACACACTCTTGGATATTGGTCAAAATCGAGTGTTTATTTGTGATAATCTTAGCCCTATTATTATTATTATTATTATTGTCCAACCTGTACTATGAATGAGATGTGACGAATTGCTTTGTTCCTTTTTTGGATAAAAGCGTCTTCTACATATAGCCTAATAAATGTTATAATAGGCTATGATGATTATTATTATTATTATTATTTGCGGACACGGACCTAAAACACACTCCGTCTTCTAAGTCAGGTGACTGTAAATGCGCAAAATCCGTTTCCATTGCATTCCGTTTTCGAATTGCCTGAAAAATCTCCTCATGCGAGCGTAAAAACTTTTTTGCGAAATTGATGTGTTTCCATTGAGCGTTTTTCATTTCGCAAATTCAATTTGCGCAAATTGAAGGGTAATGGAAACGCAGCTAGTGACATAAGATCTGGCTCTGTTATGGCTCTCTAGCCTGTGGAAAGGCAAACCGGTTCTTTGAAAGCTCATCAGTCGAACCAACTCAAAACCAGCACTAGCTCTAGCTCTGAGCCAGCACCTGGTTCTTGTTGGTGGAAAAGGGGTACCAGTGTTCCTATTGCCATTTGCAGAAATACACCGCTCCCGGTCAGAAACAACCAATCAGAGCCAGGAGGANATATGGCGCAGGCATTCATTACTTGACAGTTTTCATGAGACTCAACCAAGTGAGAACCTTATTAAATCTCCTGAGCTATAATAGAGCAACCTCTGAGCAAAAAAATTTCCTTCGGGAAGCTTCTCTCAGAAATATATACTCACATGTTTGCATTCATATATCCCCAGCACTGGAAAGTAAGCGCTGCCATCTTCCCCTTTGAAATGAGTGAGTGTGTTCATATGTGAACTGTGGAGTCCTGCCAGCGGAATGACAAATGCCCTCTTTCTGTCATTTTTCTTAATCGGCTCAATGGAGCAACATTCATTCGGAAATGTACGGGGAGACCAGGGATACCAGATACTGGAATGTCTATGTGATTATTCTCCACACACACTGACTCACACACACACACACACACATCAGAAGTAGTGGATTACCAGCGCTGTTGGCCTAGTGTCCACTGGCAGAGTTAAATGTGTTTGATGAGGGATTATGAATCACTAATATTTATATTTATGGATTTATGGAATTAGAAGTTTACAGCGAGGCTTTGTATGTGTGCGTTAAGAGATTAAAATGTCATGTTTATCGTGGCCGGGATAAAAGCTTGGTCCCACAAACAGGTTTTGAAGTGTTTGAAATATGTTCCACGTTTGGAGAAGTCAGTGTGTGGACTACAGTAATCTGTTTTAAATACCATGTTCGACTGTGATTCCTCTCTCACCCTCCCTCTCTTCTCTCCAGTTCCTGGTCCGCCTGTCAGGTTGGTGTTTCCAGAAGTGCGTCTCACGTCTGTCAGGGTTGTCTGGCAACCTCCCTCAGAGCCAAACGGTATCATTATGGGTAAGAGAACATAAACGTTACACACCCAGCCACACACATTTACCTAGCTACATAAATGAGGACTTCTGTTGTTAAAGTATCATATATCATTGAGGATATCACTGTTCACACTCACCTAAAGGATTATTAGGAACATCTGTTCAATTTCTCATTAATGCAATTATCTAATCAACCAATCACATGGCAGTTGCTTCAGTGCATTTAGGGGTGTGGCCCTGATGAGTCTCTATATCTGATTTCTGTTGAGACAATTTTCCGTAAACAGAATGAGAACATGGATCCATCATGCCTTGTTACCACTGTGCAGGTTGGTGGTGGTGGTGTAATGGTGTGAATGATGTTTTCAAGGCACACTTTAGACCCCTTAGTGCCAATTGGGCATCGTTTAAATGCCACGGCCTACCCGAGCATTGTTTCTGACCATGTCCATCCCTTTATGGCCACCATGTACCCATCCACCGATGGCTACTTCCAGCAGGATAATGCACCATGTCACAAAGCTCGAATCATTTCAAATTGGTTTCTTGAACATGACAATGAGTTCACTGTACTAAAATGGCCCCCACAGTCACCAGATCTCAACCCAATAGAGCATCTTTGGGATGTGGGGGAACGGGAGCTTCGTGCCCTGGATGTGCATCCCACATATGGGCCGACATTTCTAAAGAATGCTTTCAGCACCTTGTTAAATCAATGCCATGTAGAATTAAGGCAGTTCTGAAGGCGAAAGGGGGTCAAACACAGTATTAGTATGGTATTCCTAATAATCCTTTTAGGTGAGTGTATATCTTTGTAAAGGTTACAAGAATGTAATTTCGTCTCCTGTAAAAATGACGTTTAAGACCCTTAAAGAAGTTGTGTTTGTTCCCATTGCGCCCTGAGCCATTTGAAATTGTATTATTGCAAGGACATGCTGTGTATTGCATTTAAGTCAGTTTGTATCTGCGCGTTTCATTGGGATTTCAACCGTGTATTGAGATTAAACCGCCTCAGTTTTGCCGTTATCAAGACTACGGGACGTACTGATACACAGCTATAGATGACTGGATTATGGACACTTAACCACCCATGATGGATCATATAATCCCTTAATAGTGATAGAAATGTGAAGCCTCTTTACCTCGGATGATCTCTTGCCTTCTGTCTGTTTTCTACACGCACTCGCACACAGAGCTCTCTGCTGATTGGATCAATCGTTCCCTGTAGGATTGAGCGATATAAACCAAAAATCTTCAATCAGAGCAAAGCTGTCAGTGTTCCAGCTCTCATTTTATCCTCCCAGATCTTTGTAATATATTTCATACGCGAGGATACGCTGATAATGTGCCTTTCACACATTACTTTCAATGGGTCTTCCAGTCTTCTGTGTTGATTTTCAATTACTGAATGTCTGGCTGTATGGTGTGAAGAGACCTTAGAGGCATTTCAGGTAGAACACCCACTGTATAAAATGATTAAGAAAAGAATACCAGATCAAATCATCAGTGCACTGCATAAAATCTTTCTTCTTGATGGAGTAGACCACCTAGAAATGAAAAACTCTGTTATCGTTTTCTCCGATTTTTGAAGAATAATAAAGAAGAATAATTTTGTAGAAGAATAATAACATAACGATAGCGTCATTGAAGTATCATGGTCCATATGACGTGTGCTATATTCCAAGTCTTCTGCAGTCATACTTAAAGATTTTTTAATAACATTAATAATAAGAAAAAAAAGGGCTTAAAGGGTTAGTTCACCCAAAAATGAAAATTAAGTCATTAATTACTCACCCCCATGCTGTACCAACCCCGTAAGACCTTCGTTCATCTTCGGAACACAAATGAAGATATTTTTGATTAAATTTGAGAGCTGTCTCACTACCACATTGGCTGCCTAAGGGACTGCCTCTTGACGGCCCAGAAAGTCAATGAAGAAAATGTTTAAATATCCCATGTGACTACCGTGGCTCAATTATAAGTTTATCAAGCGACGAGAATACTTTTAGTGCGAAAAAAAAGAAAAAAAATAACGACTTTATTCGACTATTCCTTTTCTTCCTTGTTGGCCTGAAACGAGACTTCCTTAGATTTCCACGACGCATGCGCGAGAACTAACTGAAGTAGTTGAAGGAGATCGCAATTCTCGCGCATGCGTCGTGGAAACCTAAGGAAGTCTCGTTTCTGGCCTACAAGGAAGAAAAGGAATAGTCGAATAAAGTCGTTATTTTTGTTTGTTTTTTCGCACAAAAAGTATTCTCGTCGATTGATAAACTTATGAGCCACGGTAGTCACTTGGGATATTTAAACATTTTCTTCATTGACTTTCTGGGCCGTCAAGAGGCAGTCCCTTAGGCAGCCAATGTGGTAGTGAGACCGCTCTCAAATTGAATCAAAAATATATTCATTTGTGTTCCGAAGATGAACGAAGGTCTTACGGGGTTGGTACAGCATGGGGGTGAGTAATTAATGACTTAATTTTCATTTTTGGGTGAACTAACCCTTTAAGCCCCAAATCAATATACTGTATTAGAATGATTTCTGAAGGATTATGTGACTTCCAAAAACATTTAAAAGTCAAAACTTTGAATTTGTGTGGGTTGTGTGCATGTGTTTATTGCAAAGTATATTTTATGCTAAACACGTCATGCATCATATTCTGTTGTTGTTGTTGTTGCTGTTTTACATAACTCTTAAATGAGTTTCAGTGATAATTTATTGAAAGCGAGAGCCTGTTGGCAAATATTGATTGGTGGAATGAGCTATGTTCTCTCTCTGGTGTCTCTTTTTGCTGGCATTTAATATCTCTTTCTTTTTCTCTCTCTCTCTTTCTGTCAGTATCTCTCTCACACATTATCCTTCTCTTCTATTCATCACACTCTTTCCTTCGTTCTCTCTCATATTTTCTCTCTGTCTCACCTTTGCATTGATTTATTTATGGACTTAAAGATGAAGTTTGTAATCCCAATGCCACTAGAATCACCAAACGGAGTTGCAAAAATAATTACTAGTTTCCATAACCACCGCTCCATCTGCCATTGGTTGGATGGACAGATTCCCACATCACATCAAACTCGTGTCATTGATTAGGCTGGTGTTACTCTGAATCACTGTTTTACAGTAGATGGATATGAAGAAATGAATTGCCTAGAAATTCAGACTCAACGTATTTATGACTCAAAGTATTTATTAGCACGGAAACAAAATAAGCTGTTTAAGACATTAACTTGTAAGCCCAAAACATAAGACACATCTCTTTAAATGCAAACAAGACGTTATTGAACTATTATGATTATACCTGGTGCGATAATACCATAATTGAAAACTCAAATTTGACAAACCTTCTTTTTATATGTAATATTGTATTGTTTATCGTGGGTTCAAAATGGGAATGATAATTGTGTCAGTGTACAAAGTCATTTGTGCAAGATAGGGCCCTAGGTATTACTTGCATCTGTGAAGGGGGTTCTCTTATCTGTTGTTGCTCTCTAAAAGGGGTTTCCAAGGTTCGTTGATTCACGTGCCGTCTGGTAACATCTAGGGAAGCCAATCGTGATGGTGGGTTGGCTGATGATGAAATGCATAGTGTCATAGGCAGGTAGAAGTTAAACTCTGCAGTTAAATGGATTCTGACCATTTAGAAATTGTCTTTAGCTCAGGGCATAACTGTGTTTTCCATTAAATAACATGTCGTTTTCTTGTTCACATGGTTTCAATTAGAGTATAATTTAGTCATAATTTCTTTAATGGGAATATGATATGTTTTAATCAAATTTGATTGATATCAATATTTAACATTAACACACCTACCAAACATCACATCTTCTATAAACTATTCAATATTTTCTCAAAATGGCAACAATGAGTGATTAAAACATAATTCTGCTTCTTGCTGACGTCATCACAGCCTGATTTGCTCCAGCTGGTCTAGATGTTCACACAAATTTCTTATAGTATTAACAAATTAGTTGACTTAATATTCTGTGATTATTTACTTCTGTCAAAGCTGTAAAACGTCAGTGGAACACATGGAAATGCAGTGTGCTTTTATGCTTGTGAGTCCCTTTTGTACCTCAGAATCATCCTATACCTTGTAATTTCATGGAAAAAGCAAAAGGTACATTATTCAAAAATGTTTCACGTTCCACAGACAGAAACTCATAAACGTTTGGAGTGATATGAGGATGAATAATGATGGACTAATCCTTTAAGCTGGGATAGGAGAAAGTATTTTAACATTTGAAAAAAGTTGCATACCTTTAATCTCTTTGTTGCTTTTGTAAAAACATATGGTTTAAGCAGTAGCTGTGTACGCAGCTCTTCATGTATTCATGAGATATTGGCAGCGTGACATTCCTGCTTTCATCTTATCACTGTCCTCTTCCAGACTCGTGTAGATTGTGGTGCTCTGCTTTGGGGAAGCCATTAGAGTCAAGCTAATCTTTTTTTTAGTTTTCTAAAAGGTTCAAAAAGTAGATAAACACATTGAAGACATTTAAGGGGCAGTGTCATTGTTATTAGTTTACATGTTTTGGTAACACTTTTAGGGTCCAATTCTTACTAGATGCTTATTAGTATGCACATTACTAGGATCTTGGCTGTTTATGAGTACTTATAAAGCACATATTAATGCATGACCATATACTACATCCCATAATCTTACCTAATACCTAAACTTAACTACCATAAGCAGTAAATTAGGAGTTTATTGAGGCAAAAGTAATTTGTTAAAGGAGTAGTTCACTTTTAAAAAAAAATGTTTGCTGATAATTTACTCACCCCCATGTCATCCAAGATATCTATGTCTTTCTTTCTTCAGTCGAAAAGAAATTAAGGATTTTCTCCATATAATGCACTTCATTGGGAACCAAATGGTTCAAGGTCCAAATGAGAGTTTCAGTGCAGCTTCAAAGGGCTTTAAACGACACCAGACGATGAATAAGGGTCTTATCTAGCGAAACGATTGGTCTTTTAAAAAATAAATTAAAAAGTTTAAGTTTTATAAGCTCAAAAATGGTCGCCTTGCTCTGTTCTGTGATGAGCATTTGTGACTCTCCTGTTCGAACTAGTTCATCAAAATGAACAAATCTTTTTTCGAGTCATGACTCAAAGGATCCTAGATAAGACCCTTATTCATCATCTGGTGTCGTTTAAAGCCCTTTGAAGCTGCACTCTCTTTTGGACCTTGAACCGTTTGGTTCCCAATGAAGTCCATTATATGGAGAAAATCCTGAAATGTTTGTATCAAAAACCTTAATTTCTTTTCGACTGATGAAAGAAAGACGTGGACATCTTGGATGACATGGGGGTGAGTAAATCATCAGCAAAAGTTTTTTTTTTTTTTTTTAAAGTGAACTACTCCTTTAATAATAAGAATTAGACCCTAATCAAAAGTGTGACTAATTTGTATAGCCATATTTACCATTTTATGAACAATGTGGATCTAAATTAGCTGGACAACAGATACATTTACAACAAAAATAATAGCAAAAATATCTGTAACCGAGATAAAAAAAAAAATATTGCCCATTTTTACGAATATTAGAATGATTTCAGGATCATGTGACACTGAAGAATGAAATAATAGCTGCTGAAAATTTTAAATTGCAGTCGAAGATACAGTATAGTAAAATAAAACGCAGTGATTTCATATTGTAAAAATATTTCACAATATTACTGTTTTTACTGTTTTTTAAATAAATGCAGCCTGTATACATGAAAAAACCAACAACATCCTATTATGAAACGTATTTACCTCAGTACTTTTATATTAACACATTCATATACCATGATATTTAAATGATGCCTTAAGGTACTAGAATATGAACATGTCCTAAAAACATGCTATTTTCGGTAGAACTGGTTCTTTTTCTAATAGTCCTTCTCTCACAGTGTTGAGTGTCCGCTGTGATGTGTTCTGCGGTTAGGGATCAGTGATTCCTGTGGTAACAGGGCGCACAAATAAAATGCGCCTGACCGAGGGGGCAACAATATGACCAATTACACGGCTTACTGCTCTCACCACGGCAACCCAGACATTAAAAAATGAGCACCGAACCACCTGGCATGGGTCACAGCTCTACCATGATAGATGAGGGAAAATACAAAGCCTGAACAGTTGATTGTTGCCCGTTTTTTTTTTTTTGTCTTTTCGCCTCCTTTTCTTCATGTCTAGGGCAAAAGCTACTCAGACAGTGAAGAAAAGAAGAAGAAAAGTGTTCTAGTTGATTTCTGCCTCTAGCGTAGCACAAAAAAAATGAAAAAAGAAAAGAAAAACCATCAAAAGAGAGAGCTCAGGAACAAGCAGAGGATTTTGCATAGGCCCCTCTGGGCTTTTTGAGTTGGGTTAGCGATGGCCTCTTAATAAAGGAGGATCTTAGCGAGCTGTGCGTTCGGAAAGAGGAAGAGAGAAAAGGAAAGAAAGGGCGAATAAGAATCTGAGAAGACAAGGCAAAGGGGGAAAAAACATTGAATTAAAACCATCCTCGGCTCTGTAAAATCGTGCTAATCCTCCAAACGGGGCACGCTAACACCAAGCGTCCCATGTGACGGAGATAAAAACCTCTTTCTCGTCCGATTCCCCCAGAACTTAACTCTCTCCACCGCCTGTAACTGTAACAAGTGCTTCCAGGTTAAAACGTGTTCTGATACTTTGGAAATCTTTCACGGGACACTTTGGTCTTAGCATCTGCATTAAAAGGAAATGAGCCATGTCTGCCGTTAGGAGAGGGTTATTAACTCTTATGAAGGAAGGCTGCCGTTGCAAACTTGTATAATGACCGTACGTATTTAGCTGAAATGTGACGCCTCATATGTTTAGACCGTTGTAATGATACACATCGGATGAATTGTTTCAAGCTGTTTTATGCTTTATGGTTTGTATGATATGGCTTTGCCAGGATTTTGATGCTGTTCTTTTTCCTAGATTGAAAGTGTGTGAGGATGTTTGCTGTCAAGCTCCAAAAAGACACAAGCAACACTGTAAAAAATAATCCTGTGAAAAAAAAAACGTAAACTACTGGCAGCTGTGGTTGCTAGCATCATACCGTAACAATACGGTGTGTTACTGTTTTTGTGCTGTTAAATTAAAGTTTTATTCTGAAGCTGACAATACGGCGCTGTTCATTTTTAAAATGATAACACAGCTGCCAGTGGTTCACCGGTTTTTTTTTTTTTTTTTTTTTACAGGATTATTTCTTTACAGCTAAGAGTAATCCATTTAATCTGTGTTATATTGCAAGGCTTCTGAAGCCACACGATAGCTTTGTGTGATGAACAGAATTAAAAAAGGCATATTAAATGGCTAATCTTCCCCTAATTCTTATTTGCTTGTCTGCATATTTGAATAATAATGGTAATATATTAATTGTAAATATTCTTAAATTGTTAATGAATTAACAAAGTGTTGTTGTTGTTATTATTTTTGTTATACAATTAACAATATTTTCTAATATGTATAATTACTAATAATTACTAATAATAACTAATTGTAAATAGTATTATTATGAACATGTTAATAAGTTTTAATTGATATTATTATTATTTTGTATATATTTATAATTAATGATAATAGTAATTATTATGAATATGAATAAATAATATTTTACTAATATTAACCATTTTTATAATTTATATATTATAATGATGATAATCATTTTATTATTATATTGAACATTTACTTGTTATTTTGATTAATAATTCATGAAAATATATTGTTAAAATTATTAATGTTAATAAAATGTTATATTACTTGTAAATATTATTAAATTGTTAATGGATTAATGAAGTGTTGTTGTTGTTGCTATTATTGTTGTTATACAATCAACAATATTTTCTAATATGTATAATTACTAATAATATATTAATTGTAAATAGTATTATTATGAACATGTTAATACGTTTTAATAGATTATTATTATTATTTATAATATGATAATATTTATATATTTATTTTTAATATACATAAAAATATTTTACTAATATGAACCATTTTTATAAATCATATATTATAATCATAATAATCATTATAATAAAAAGTATTATTGATATTATATTAAATATTTACTTCAATTATTTTAATTAATTCATGATAATATATTGTTAATATTTATGTTAATAAAATGTTTTATTTTACATAATTATTAATCATTATTATTCATTTTAATCTACTCTTATAAATTTGGATAAATAGTCATAGTTATTATAAATAATTGATAATTTACTAGTATCAACAATATTTATAATTAATTCACTAATAATAATAATTTGTTTTATTATATTAATTATAAATATTGTTACTCTTATTATTAATAATATGAAAAGATGTCACATTTGAATATGTACATTTGACATTTAGGCCACAGAACTACACAGACTCACTTCCGCTAAGATCTATACCAATCAAATCAGTCATCTTTATTTATAATACAGATTGTTTCAAAGTTTGTATTGGCTGTACAAAAGATCTAGAAGATAATATTGTCATTGTCCAGCTTAAGTAAGGTCAGTGTTGATTCATTTCATTTCCATTGAAAAAAATCATTAGTTATTAATTTAGTTCATTTATCTATACAGCAGCTCTGGAGAAAACAGTGACATCATCGTCCTGCTCAATTCAGTTCTCATCCAATAGTCTCACTGCAGTCAAATCAATAATATTTTTGAGTATTAAGGATGATATACTTATATAATATACTAATATGATCATATTATATCACAATACAGCAGTTTTTACCCAATTTTGGCTTTCTTACTGCAGGCTATCAGATTTCTTACCGTCTGGATATCAATGATCCCAACAAGTTCACCACAGTGGAGGTGGGGTCAAACGCACGTCAGTTCACTGTGACGGGATTGATCCCAGAGTCGGCGTACGTGTTCCAAATCACAGCGCGCACTCAACAGGGCTGGGGACCCCCGGAGGAGGCCATCGTCATCACCACAGAAAAAAGAGGTACTTTTGAAGGATGGTCTAACAAGCCGTTTTATATGCAAATTTATAAGGTCTCTGAAATATCAACAGGAATAAAACTGTTGAAAGTACGGAAGCGTACTGCATTTACTTGAGGAAACAAAATCTACTCTGTTTTTCTGAATTAACGAGTTAATTATCTTAGAATTACGAGATCATTTTTCATGGGAAAAAGTTTTTGCTCTGTTTTTCTCAATTAAAGAGTTAATTATCTCAGAATTACGGAAAATATTCTCGTAAAAACATCAAAAAGTTTTTGCTCTGTTTTTCTGAATTAACAAGCTAATTATCTCAGAATTACGAGATAATGTTTCATGAAAAAAGTTTTTGCTCAGTTTTTTCTGAATTAACGAGTTTATCTTGGAATTATGAGGTATATTTTTCTTGAAAAATAAAATGTTTTCACTCTGTTTTTATGATTTAATGAGTTACTCCTAATTTTTGAGATAATCAAGTCATTAATTCAGAAAAACAGAGCAAAAACTTTTTCCCATGAAAAAGTATCTCGTAATTCTGAGATAATTTACTTGTTAATTCAGAAAAATCGAGCAAAAAATTTTTCCCATGAAAAATTATCTCGTAATTCTGAGATAATTAACTCGTTAATTCAGAAAAACAGAGCAAAAACTTTTTTCCATGAAAAATTATCTCGTAATTCTGAGATAATTGACTCAATAATTCAGAAAAAAAAACAGAGCAAAAACATTTTTCTATGAAAAATGATCTCGTAATTCTGAGATCATTTACTCATTAATTCAGAAAAAACAGAGTAGATTTTGGTTTTTTTTCTAGTGAACGCAATACGCTTCCAACACGTTGATCATAAAATGACACATTTTTGTCATCAATTTGTTTATTGTGGAGTCCTTTTTCATAAACAGTGACAAATCAGAAGTGACTATAGCTAAAAGCTACTCATGTAACTGAAATGCTGATGTTTGGTGCAGTCAGTCTGTAAAAGTAGAATGTCAGTCATGAAGCTGATAAAGCATACTGTCAAAACAGCATGTGGCCCTTCGGAGCTCACGGCACTTAACCCCGAGCCGGGTCTGTGACTCATTACACATGTCCCACAGAGCGTCCGCAGTCCCCTCGACGACTCGCCGTGCCTCAGAAAGGGGTGGAGTCTCATAAGCTTCGTCTTCATTGGACAGCGGGGGGAGACGGCTCTTCCCCAGTGCGCTACTTCACTCTGCAGACATTAGAGCTGCCGGACGGCCAGTGGAAGACCCACACATCCTCCATCGGTCATAATAACACCTCCTGGGAGGTGGAGAGGTAACACACGCACACATATCTCTCTGATTAGTCATAACTGCCTGTGCGGGCAATGGCTGGGACAAGAACAGTCACTATTTATAGCAAAATGTGCTTTAGCTCTGACAGACAACACAGGAGAAATTAAAATACACAGGATGGAGTTACGCTTGAGGTCATTGTTTGGATTTTAGATACTATGCAAACATGGCAATATGGAAATAATGGAATTATAATTCAACAAGGATATATTTTATGTTGCACAACAAAAAAAGTTGGTTGCAAGGGTAATGTCAAGTTAGCACTTTTGATTTGTTTTGTTTTAATTTGATTTGATTTGTTTTTGTTTCGTTTTAATTTGATTTGTTTTTTGTTTTGTTTTGTTTTTTTGTTTTGTTTTGTTTTTTGTAGGGCTGTGCAAAAATTAATTGCGATTAATCGCATCCAAAATAAAAGTCTGTGTTTAAATAATATATTTGTGTGTGCTGTATATAATTATTTTGTATATATAAATACACACACATGCATGTATATATTTAAGAAAATGTGTTATTCATATATAAAATATTTATATTTATATAATATAGATTATGTATTTATATATATATATATACAGAATTTAAGCGCAAATAATTCTTAAATATATACATGCATGCATAGGTATTTATATATACAAAATAATTATATACAGCACACACAAATATATTATGTAAACACAGACTTTTATTTTGGATGCGATTAATCGCAATTAATTTTTGCACAGCCCTAGTTTTTTGTTTTGTTTTTTGTTTTTTTTCGTTTTTTTGTTTTGTTTTTTCTTTTGTTTTTGTCTTGTTTTTTCTTTTGTTTTGTTTTAATTTGATTTGATTTGTTTTGTTTCTTTTTTGTTTTGTTTGTTTCTTTTTTTGTTTTGCAGGACATGGATCATACGACCATGTTTTTTGTTAGTTTGTTCTGTTTTTTGTTTGTTTGTTTGTTTTTTTGCTTTGTTTGTTTATTGTTTGTTTTTTTACATTTATAATTGAAGAGTTCAGATGCAAAAGCCTCTAAATGCCATTTGAAATTTTCTTCTAGAATGGTCATTTTTATCAAACTTGTATATTTAAGTTCAGTAATTTCACTTAAATGGCAATTAATAGGTAATCTTCATTGTTATTTAAGTGAAATTACTAAACTTAAATATACAAGCTTGATAAAAATGATCATTTTAGAAGAAAATTTCAAATGGCACTTAGAGGCTTTTGCATCTGAACTCTTCAATTGTAGTACCAGAATTTTATGGACTTATACCATGGTAATTCCATAATTTTTGTTGCTGTTTTTTTTTTTTTTCAGGCATCTACCATGTTTTGTGTTTTTTTTTTTTTTTTTTTTACATACACCATGGTAGTAACAAGGTGTGTTTTTTGGTAGTTGAATGCTGCGCTTAAATGACATTAATGTCGGTTGGCTTACGTCACTTCCAGGCTCCTACTGGTGGTGCAAGTGCAACCAGGAAAACGGCCCTAGTATAGCTTACATTTTAGTTCCTATAACTACCCAGTGCAAAAAACCCTATTTTAGTACCATAGTATGCGTCAAAGTCCCATACCATTGATACCATCACATTACTCCACAGCACTGCCACTGGGTTAGAGAGTCAGGATGAGCCGAGGGGTGAAAATGAAACACCCTCAATTGGACTAAATCAAACAAAACTCTTCAATCTAAACGAATGACATTACACAAAACATGTTAGACATTTTATATTATGGACATGCAGTGACACTGATGAGTCATCATTAAGAATAAAAAGAGAGAGAATTTGATGAACAGATAGAGTGAAAGAAAGAGAGAGAGAGACTGTAATTATAATCAAACTGACCATCAGGTGGCTTGATGTCTAATCACACATCCCTTCAGCTCCACCTCCATCCTCCAGTACTGCAATACTAGCTCATATTCTTCCACCCTGCCTGTTCGTTCTTCTCATCATCACCTGTCTGATTCATGCTGTCACCTTCGATCACCTCTCT